CATCTTCAGCTTGTCTGAGGATGAGGAGGGTTGTATTGTGACATATCTGGTGGGTTTGGGGAAGGATGCTCCAGGTTTTAAAGTTGCATCATGTGGCTAAATTCATAGGTGTGGTCAAGCATTCATTCACAAAGTTGAATTTTGGGCCAACCAGCTGATGATACTTGAAACAGAAAGAAAGAAAGGAAATTCGTAAATGAATACCGTAAGTCTGGACTATATTATACTTGTAAAAACTCTAATAATAATTGGCTGAGCAGGTAGCACAATGTTTTGTTGTTTGTGGAGCAAGACAATTTCAAGATCAGTTCCTGTGAGTCAAGAGTTTGGCTGGGAAGGAAGCATCACAAAGAGGCATGTTCAGGACTAGGAAGAGTTTCCAAGACACAAGTATGTGAAGTAGAAAGGACTCGGGAGAAACATCATAACAGTTAAATTCAAGAGAGATTGTGTGCATTGGAAAGTGAAGGAACTGCTAGGGGAAATGGTCCCAAATGCTAGGATAAATAGCTAAGAGAGGGTAGCAAGAGTGGTGAGCTGCTTGATTCTGGCCATGTTGTTGTTATATTTATTTGTTTGTTGCTGTTTTGCCTTCAGGTCATTTCCCAATTTCAGCAACCTTAAAGTGAACCTATCATGGGATTTTCTTGGCAAGTTTCTTCAAGGGGTTTGTCATTGCCATCCTCTGAGGCTGAGAGCGTGTAACTTGCCCAAAAGCACCCAGTGGGATTCCATGGCCAAGCTGGGATTCGAATCCTGGTCTCCAGAGTCCTAGTCCAATGCTCAAACCACTACACCATACTGGCTCTATAGTCTATGTTCATTTACATTGTGCCTTTTCCCCCCAGTGGCTTATGTTGTGTTCTGGCTAACTTCAGTTCAGAAACGCATGCTTCTTTAGGTTCAGAAAGATTTGTTCATAAAACGAAAGTTGTTCACAGCATAACAATGTTGTCAGGACTGAAACAGTTTCAGTTACATGGCATATTGAAAACATTTAACAGTTAAACATTTTCACACGCTCATACCTCATTTGCCTTCACACCAAAACATTCCTGCTCCCAGGACTTCCAGTTTCATCCTCTGAGTACCGAACTGACATAGAACTGACCTTGACACTCACAGCACATATTTCCTCCCTGGCACATCCAATCATTGCCCAACTGCAAGGAAGATAAGCAACCCTTCCATTCTGCATCAGCAATGGTGTAGCACGTCCCAGCATCCAGTGTACAGATAGGAGCTATGATCCTGACAGTTTGCAACACATAAAACAAACATAGTTTTAAAAAATCCACAGCAAACAAAAGGTAAAAAGTTAAAAACATTAATAAAAAATACATTTGGCCCTCCTTATTCACAGATTTCTTATCCACGGATTCAAGCATCTACAGCTTGGAAATGTTCAAAAAAAGTATAAATTCCAAAGAGCAAACCTTGATTTTCCATTTTATATAAGGGACACCATTTTGCTATGCCATTATATTTAATGGGACTTGAGCATCCATGGATTTTGTTATCCATGGGGGTGGGTGGGTCCTGGATCCAAACCCCAGCGGATAACAAGGACCCACTGTAATGACCATGCATGATTTACGTAACTTTAAAGTAGATGAAGAAGACATTTAAATAGATTTTCTGTACTGTGGCTCAGTCTTTAATCAGAATGGAGACTGTAGGGAGGAAGTCAGAAGAAGACTAGGACTTCTTGGAAGGGCAGCTATGAAGGAACTAGAGAAGATCCTGAAGTGTAAAAATATATATACTAAAGTTAGGATAGTCCAGGCTATCGTATTCTCCATTTCTATATATGGTTGTGAAAGCTGGAGAGTGAAGAAAGTGGATAAGGAAGAAAATCAACTCATTTGAAATGTGATACTGGAGAAGAGTTTTACAGATACCATGGACTGCTACAGGTCGGGTCCTAGAACAAATAAAGCCTGAACTTTTCCTCAGTCAAGATGACTAAACTGAGTCTGTTGCACTTTGGACATATCATGGGATGATATGACTTATTGAAAAAGTCTGATTTGAAAAATATAGTACATGGAAGCTAGTAGAAAAAGAGGAAGACTACATTACAGGTGGATTGACTCAATCAAGAAATCCCCGGATCTGAATTCGGAAACATTGAGCAGGTCCTTTGATGACCCAGGGATCTTGGTGATCTTTCATTCATAGGTTCCCCATAAATTGAAGATGACTTGACAACAAATAATAGCAAACAGCAACAAATGGATGTGAAGACTTCTTGTTCATGTTCACATCCTTGATGGGAAAAGGGTGTTTTAACACTCGAGGCACTCTGCCAAGGAAAAGAAAATCAATTGCAATATTCCTCCCACTTTGGGACTTTGTTGCAGAAAATTAATTTGTGCAAAAATTAGACATGGTTCTTCTGTACAAAGAATGTATTTCAGGTCAGAAGACACAGGATAAACTGATTCCTGGGGCGGGGGGAGGAATATTGTTTGAGCAAAACTATTGTGCTCTTTTGTGTGTGTGCAGGAGAACTGCATGTGGTTATTTTTCAGAGGGTTCCATGGGTTTGTATAAATGATATAACTTGGTATGCTATCTATGTAAAACTATTGGCTCATGTGTGAAAAAACCACATGTAGTTTTGTTGTTGCTGTTGTTGTGTGCCTTTGAGTTGTTTCTGACTTACGGCAATCTTAAGGCGAACTTATCACAGAGTTTTCTTTGCAAGATTTGTTCTGAGGGGGTTTGCCTTTGCCTTCCTCTGAGGCTGAGAGAGTGTAACTTGCTCAAGGTCAATACTGTATGTATTTTCTGTGCAACTCCCCTCTCTTTTTCACACAGCAAACTGTGTATTCTGTGGAAGAAAAATGTGTATTTTGGCAGTCCCAGAATATGAGTAGTCCTGAAAATGACATAGAAACCCTTGTAATTTCATGGAGCAGGGAATAACATACACAAAGATTCATATCCCTAAGTGGAGAAGCCCACCTTCCTCCACTCCTCGCTTGTAAGTGCTGAGAAAATTGTCAAAATTTTATTTTCTTGCATTCTTATGTACACAGTGTGAAAGAAGTCCCAAAGTACAACCAAACCAGTGTCAGCTCTCCATATTTTTGTAGAGGTGTTCTGGATGTTGAGACACCCCTTTTTTTATGGAGGATGAGAAAATGACAAATGTTCCTTATCTCCCTAGCCTGGTGAGACCTGTCAATTATGCAATTCTTTGCAAATTTTGGTCTGGTTGGAGGTAAAAAAATCTTTAGTGATTTTCTTCCCACTGTGAGAAAGGCTTTAAAAACAGCACAGCTTTCAAAGAATAGTCACAGTTAGAATTTATTGTGCACAATGTTTGCATGTGGTTTTTCTGCGTAGAAAAGAACATTTTCTGGGTGTGGAAAATAATAGGATGTTATTGCTGATAATAAAACAGCATAAAAAACCATGTGTGAATTCTACACAGAATAAGTCCCAAAATGAGAAGATTCTCATCACTCCAGGATTATTTTCGTCAGGCTTTCCTGACACTCAAAAACACATTTTTCAACCATTTTCCAATATTATTTCTGTCCCCACCTGCAACCTCCTACTTCAGGTATCAGATACTTACTTTTTCTGCCATGTGGACAGAATGACTGGATGCTCGCTCCTATGGCATTATTTCTGCAATGTAGATGTACCCCATGTCTCATCCATTTTGAACCATGGATGATAATTTTAAGATCAATAGAAGTATAGTGTCTAGATCAAGGGAAGTAACAGTGCCATTCTGTTCTGCTTTGGTCAGGCCTCACCTGGAATACTGTCTCCAG